GCGTTGAGTCGACCCACTGTTTCTAACTGATAAATTATATAAACAAAACCCCGTCCTTGGAATCTTCGAAGTTATGTCATGTGTAATGATTGATAAATTCGAAAATGATATACAGGGAAACGGTTGTTAAATTGCTACGTTTTTTATTTAATAAGTTACATCTCACAAATTTGCGTATTATTACGAAATATATGTATGTCATCTATAGTTAATCATTGCAACAGGACTCATTCAAAATAATTTCAACTGCATAAGATTGACCTAATAAATGTCTAAAACGTATATTTTATAAACTTTTACGCCTGTTTGTTATTCTAAATTGTACGAAAAAATAAAATAAAATGAAAAACTGCGTAAGTACGTGGGTGCTTTATTAAATTGACCGTAGCGCACCAAGATAAAGTACGATTTTAGGAGAGAAAATATATGCAATTGCATGGAGACAATTTTAAATTTCTATGCACGTCCACGAAATCGTCGAGGAAAATTAAAAGCGTCTCTCTATAAAGAAAAAAAAAATAAAAATTACATTGTATTTTATATATGTTTCTACACAAATATATCTTGGTAATGCCAACATTTGTATAGACACAAAAGTTAACCATCGATTCCTACATTAAGCTGAGTCCATCCTGTAAGAAACAGGATTAGTTTTACCATATATGGTACATGCTTATAGAAAATAACACATGTTTCTAGTATATAAATAAATAATTTTAAAGTATATATGAAAAAAATATAAATACTAGCTTTTGTTCGCGACTTAAACTGTGTTACCTACATATTTGTACCTGAAGAGTACATTTATCTATATTCCAAAATTCATCATAACTGTGCGGTTTAGATGTGAATGCGTAACAAATAAACAAACTTACTTTTGCATTTACAATATTCGTTAAGGATAATGTGTAATCATCACCATATCAGTTAATAACTGTCCAATGCTGAACATAGGCCTACCCCAATAGATGTCACGGGGCTTTGCCAATAGATATCACGCTTGGAAGGTAGGTTGGCAACCGCAGTTAGGATTTGGTGATGTTTAAAGAGGGACACTGCTGCCTGTCTTTTGACCATTAAGTTCCCATAGTCGCCTCTTATGACAGCCATAGGAAAAGGAGTGTGTAATAAAATATTATACCATAATGTCATCTATATATTTTTCAATTATATTAGTATATAATTTAAATATGTATTAATTATTAGTTTATATAAACCAGATTTTTACAATAAATTCTGAATAAATTGATTGACATTTAGACAATACATAATAAGCCTTCATTAAGGAGCTAGATCTCTCCTGGAAAATAATCCTAAATACGTAATTAACTAAATGATATATTTGCATATGATAATAATGATTGCATACATTTTTTCTTCTATCATAACATAACATTATCCTGTGGTTCTACAGTACATTATAAATGTATCGATAAAAGTTTTCTCATATTAGTTCGATTTTATCTTGTCACAGCGGCGTTATGTAGACATTATTATTCAAAGACCTGATCGGTTATTAAATTATATTTCACGGAACGCTCGTTACAAAAGCAAAGCATCGATTAAGACGCCCCCGCAACACCAACATCCTAGTTCGTTATACCTTATTCCTTCCACCATTTGCACGCGGGAAAATTGAAGGAAACAAATTTTAAATGTAAACTTATTTGTTATTAATAAACATGTTTCATTTAGTTATGTTTATGTTTATAGCAATCACTCTAAAATTACAAGGAAATTTGCCTTTTAATTGGTATCGAGTGAAAGCTACTGAATGTCTATCATCAACGGAGAAATGACAGGTTACTTCGTCGAACAATATACGTTGATATGCGGAAATTAGTCTCTTAATTAAAATTCGAATTTATTTTCGAATAATTCTAGTGGTATTTGTCTTCTGCAGCACATCGATTAAATGTGATATTTTTAGAAATTCCTTATTTTCAACCTGTCTTTTAACTTTCTCGGTTGCGTTCAACGAACAATGAATAAATTAATTTATTACAAAGACAATACAAAATTATTATATTATAATAATTTAAAAAAAAAGAACAGTTCGTTATGAACTTTTCCATTCTGTTGCCCACCTAGCATTCTTTATGATTTCAGTTTCAACGAAACGAAAAAACAAAATATATTTTCATGTATAGTCAGTAAAAGTTTTTTTTTTTTTTATAAAAATCAAATGAATTTGATCGTTGAGTTTCGGTGTTCAATACCTAAACTGCTTCGATTTATTGTATGCAAAAGTCATTATTTCGAAACTGACTGATACAAAAAACTATGCTTGTTATTTTAAATTTCTGTCACAGCCTCTGGTAATGGAAATAGTGATAAAAATTCGGCAGTAAGTTCGCTCCACGTTACCTTTATTACTATGACAACGATCAACGAAATGTGTCTGTCTACCCATTATGGACTATAGTCGTGAGAATATTTACTTATATTTTATTTATAGGTTATCTGTGTCGATTAATCATTCTCGTTTAGGAAACACGAATTATTTAGTACGTCAAAAATAATATCCGCCCGCGTAATGTTACCACGTAGATGAATACGCTGCAATTTGTTGGGATATAATTGAGGCATTGGGTTGTTTTAGGAGTAGTATGTGAGATTTCATAAATAATGCAAATTCATAAATCGCAATTGCTCTCTTCTTATAGACTGCTACAAATTGCTATAAGGGGAAAAATCGCAGGAAGTCCCTGTGTTTGATAATTGTGATTCATCAGCAACTTTTAGTTATTAGTATAAAATGATGAAGTCACCATCAATTAAGTATTCATGTCAGCCAATTGGTTTTTATGAAGAGTGACTGAACCAGGTGATGGAAAGAATAATCATATAATAAAAAAATATAATTTACACTTCAATTTCAATAACAAATAGTAGCAAGTAAGCAATTATTGTGAGTAAAAATTATGGCATGTGAAATTTCACAGATAAAATAATACTCTTAGCTTTTTCTTTCTGGGAGTAGAAATTAACGGATACATTATTAATTGACAAAATAATACGCTATATTTTCCTGGAGGGTTAAGAAAGTCGTTTTACGCGATTCATATATTCGGGTTCCTCTCAGTTGACGTTAAGTGCTTGATTTTTGAAACAATAAATTAATTACCTTTAAATGAATAATTTCTGTAATAAGTATGTGTCACCTTTTCTCATGCATCCAAAGGGCATCATCATCAACCAGGGTGTTTGAGATTTGCTCCCTCGCTTTATGAACTTTTTATTTGTGTCTATAGAGACTCACATTCGCAACAAAATAATACACAAAATTGCAGACTCGGTCATTTTGTCTGTTATTGCAACTTTGAAGCTTACCCTTATTTGTTTCATAGTTTATATTTGAATAATAACTCCCCACTCGCTCATTATAATATACCTTAACTTTATGTGGGACACGGTGCCCCATAAAAGAGGATATAGCCTATTTATACAACACTGACTACGCTTGGTATATGACTATTTCTAATTTTGATTTTCTTTCTCTTGTTTTGTTGCGTAACAAGACTGATATATTTCTTCAATCAACTTCAAACAAGGAGGAGATTCCCAATTCGGATCGATTCTTTTATAGGTTTTAAAACCGGTTGTTAAACCGACTTGGAAAATTACGATTTTATTTGAAAGTATATATTTTCATAAATGCCATAGAAATTTCATCATAATCAGTTCAATATTTTTGATTTTTAAATCAGAATGACTGGTTTAGCAGTGATTGAATTACTGTTTTTTAATCAAATCTACTTATTACTTTGTCATCATTATTATTTTTGTTATTCATGTATTTTTTTCTGTTTTTATATTATCGATAATCTCTACGTAACGCAGGTTATTTCGTCTAGAAAACTAAGTGATTATTTATTTTTTCTTTCTTTATCAAATGTATGCAAAGAAAAGAGATGTTTTAATAAACATTTAAGACTCACGTTGCATGATTTCTGATTTATAATAGATGGGAATTATTTGGTTGAAATATCTACCTATTCATTGGCATCCAACACAGTAATTATACGAAATAACACTATATGAATGATAATGTTCACCTAAATGATCATGTTAATTCGCGTCTATTATGAACCGCAATTTTCTTTCACATTTACTTTTAATGACCATTAAAAAAATTACATCATATATTTATTTTTTGGTATTTGATGCACTAAGATCTGGGCGTAATCTTCGCTAGTTAATACAAGTAACGGGATACTCGAAGTGAGGGGAGAAAAGGGCTACTAGTGTAACAGATTGAAGTGAAATGTAGGGTGATGTCGGCGTGCATCCCGATGAGGATGTATGCTCTATTTCCGCAATTAGATACGATGGGGGCAGTGGGGGTTATAGGAACAAATGACCTAGATAGAAGCGATTAGTACCTACTTACTATTAAGCTTCAAGATTATTAATTAAGATCTTAAGATTGTATCAAAAACAGATCAAATAGCAATCAGACAATTTTTTTTATACCACTGAGGTGGCAAACAAGCAAACGGCCCATTTGATGGTAAGTGGTTACCGTAGCCTGTGAACACCTGCAATGAACAGTTGCACTAGAGGTATTAATATCGATATATCTGGCTGATATTGAAAAATTTTCTTTTTAAACGCTCAATTTTTCTTTGTTGCTATTCGATTAAAAATTTCCCATACTATATAGATATTTTTAAATTTCAATTGTGAATTGTCTCTTCTCATGTTATATTAATGACTTATATATCTATATAATTACATTTGTAAATTGTGTTACTTTATTCTCTATGTTGTATAATGCAAATAAAGTGTATTCACTCACTCATAAAATGAGACTCCTAATTTCCGTCCTAATATATTCTATAGTAGTTGTACGTACTCAACGTATATGTATATACATATATAGTAATTCTATTTATTAAAGATATATATGAGAACTTGTTACAAACACTTTGTCTTCTAATTCTATTGTAAAAGTTATCGGTAAAAGTTGGCGTTATGAAACTTTTACGACACGAAACACGGATTAGTTTGATCTCTTTAAGTCACTGTTAATGATATTAGATAATAATATAAGTGACCTTCGTTTTTATTGTAGGTGTAAAGAGAGTTTAAAAAAGAATTAATATACATATACATATATATAAAAACACATATATATAAACACTTACATATCAATATGTAATATTCATTGTTACCCGTGACTTTATCCGTGTTATGGGAATAAAAAGTAGCATAATGTCCATCTCTATCTCAAATACTGCGTACCTATATACCAAATATAACGGTTTTGTTAAATAGAAGCTACGAAATTGCATATAAATATTTTTAGTAACGATCTATTATGAGTTAATAGTTGTTTATTGGCTTTTTGTTTGATAACTAACAAAAAGTTAGCGAACAGATGTGAGCTCTAAATTTTGACGTTATATAAACCTGAAAAATTTGTTTAGTTTTATACGCGTGCAATCAATTGTTGTTGAGTTGCAATGTTTCAGAATTTTTTGTAGTTTCACGCCGGACTGTAGTTGATTATGGTAAGCACATTGAACAAGTTATTGACGAAAATACCTACAGATTATGTAAGGTGCTTTCTTTGCCAGACGTTACTTTTTACTACTATTTATCAGATCATACAGAGAACTCTAGGATCATTGAAAAAATTAAAATTAGTGCTTTGCTTTTAAGTAAAATTATCACAGAGCTGTAGCCTATTTGGTTCACTGCGACACACATGGCGATAACATATTTTTGTATTTTATTTCTTGTATTTTATTGTTATAATTAGGTAACTTATTTAATTGTATAAATTTACGTGTGTCATAGATGACTTAAAGTGTTTATCTATCTATCTATTATAAACATGAAAGTTTGTGAGGATGGATTCTAACTTAATATATGGATTTACGTAATTTTAACAATTCGTGCAAGTGAAGCCTCGGGATGCGGCTAGTATTTTCTAATTATTTATCAAAATATGTAGGAAAGGCCCCCTAAAGGTTTAAGGCATTTAGAAGTATGCACTTTAGACGTATACAAATATGCTAGTTTATATGGATGATAAATTAACAGGTCTCAGGTAATAAACTATAGAGTAGAATTCTCCTTTTATGGAAAAAGATCTATGTCCAATAGTGGGACATCAATGGCTTACAAGGTATTTACAAATTTGAAGATACTTCGATGCGCATTTCCAACCCTGATAACTGATACATTTTGTTCTAATTCAAAATAATTACAATATAAGTTACAGATAAAGGTAAATAAATATATGCTATACTATGACGCCATTATCCAGTTCCCAACAACCTGTAGCACGCTTCCCATAACGAAAACCGCAACTATATTGTCCCAACTAACGGAAAGGTATATTTTTTTATATGCTATGTAATAATATATGCATACGTAATTGTTTAATCCTTCGACAAGTTGAGAGTGAAGAGATTATTAGTAACGGGGACTAATAGTTCCATTGCTAGCAATATATCGTGTCATGGTTAATTCATGACGAATTCATCACGATGGGCCAACTGACCTACTTTCATCGTCAGCTGTCATCCCTCACTGGTACCCGCCAGTGCATACTGATTGCACGGGCGGGGTTATCATTCTATTATCATACGTTAAAAATATATTTATTCCATATTGATAAAAAAAACTTATGTATACTTTCAAATTATTGAAGAGTGTGTGTTCAAAGTTACTAAGCGTCAAGGTTCATAAATATTTTTTATTGAGTTGTTGAATTTTGCATTCTTACTATTAAAAGATATGTTTAGGTGCACGAAATTTTGAATAGTCATTGAATAGGTTTTAATCTTACGATTTTTCAAAGTTCGATATTTGAAATATTTCTTTTTTTTTTCGTGATTGAACTATGTTAGAGAACTGAAGGAGGCAAAATTCGAACTAACTTATAATAATTCGTTTCCTAAATTGATCTAATCGAAATTCGATCCCGGAGACATGATATCCATATTTCAAAGTAAAACATACCCACTTTAACACTAAGAAGATATTCTAAAAATAACACTATCTTAGGTAATATTTTATCAACATTGTATTGTTTAATACCAGCGGTAAGTATTTGCATGAAGGTAACACAAAAGTCGTAAAACTAAATTTTATGTCATGTTCGACAGGGGGTGTTGTCAGTTTTCCGTTCGTTTCCCCTTGTATATTTTTTTGTAAATTAAAGATATAAACTCACCCGTCATCTTTTCTATAAGCCTGATTTATTATCTAGGATTTTGAATGATTCAACTTGTCAAGAAGAATTTTACGATGAAAAGCTTTTTGTGTTGGAGTACTTTCAATATGATTTAAGAAATTATGTTTGCTTAAGGATTTTAAATAGACTAAATATACTATAAATAGTAAATAGAATCACGACAACAATCCCTTACGTGGTAAACAGAGGTACTTATCGACTGTCACAGTTATCGTGTAACATTTAATATGCCCACATTTTGCCGAACACATTAAAATCCAGAGGCAGAAGGCGAGCCCGCTGCCATCACTCGGATCTATTTGACATGTTATCGGTGCCCTCAATTGACAGTGAGTTACTCTATTTCTATTTATATATTCAATACTAACTTTTACACCCGACTTCACCCGTATGACCGAGTATGTCAAATGACTGAGATAAATAGTATCATGTGCCTTTCTTTATGCTCTTCTTCATGTCCTTCTTTTTCCGCGTGACCAGAATATGTATACTGACCGGCAAAAAAAGTAGCCTATATCCTCCATCCCATACAGAACGTGTATATCCGAATGTTATAATGATTGGTTAAGCCGTTAAGGCGTTAAAAACAGTCATTGACATTTTTATAATACATGTACATATATCTAACATGCTTGTCTCCCCTTAGAGTAGTCAAACACAATGGAACGATTCAAACAGACCTCTTTCACTTCCTCCATATTCATCAATTTGTTCATACACGCTCGCTGGTTACGGGTACTTTTAATTTGGCCCTTCTTCAGCACGTTGCTTATTTGATCGACATACGTCCGTTTAGGGCGGCCCCTACCGACATCTCCATTCATTCGTGCTCGATAAATTTCTTTCGTAATTTTTCTTTCATCCATCCTTTACAAATGGCCAAACCAACGCAAATTTTGTGTTTTTTTTTTTTATGTCGACCTTTGTCATTATATCGTCTGTTAGTCCTCACTTCTTTTTAATCCCGACGTTTATAATATTTAGTAAGGATATCATAAAATATGTAATATTCGCTTATTTGATTTTCCGTTCCCGTATTTTTAAATTAATATTATTTATACATCAGCGGATATTTAAAAAGGAAATAAAATAGTCATCAAATCTTTTTATTATTAGCCAAATTTGAACAGACGAACTTTGCGGTTTATATATTACTAGGTCACGACGTTTTCAGGCGGGGGTCACATCTACCGTCTGTCAAATGTCACTCTCTGTCCCTTGGCAATTAAATTTGAAATAGGCGTAACCTTACTTATCTATGAAATATTATTCTGCACTCCATTCAATGTTTTTGGGTTGGCCACCATCAAATAGACGGATTATCTCATTTGCGTTGCGGATTATGGATTTCTATCGTGGTGACGTCATTGGCAACCGCACTCGCTACGTGTACCCGGATGATTTACATAGGATTTGAGTGAAAATTCAAACACCACATTCGGAGTCGAGGCTTTAATGATATTTCGCTCATTAAGTTATTTGAAATGACTTTTGTCTATTCAATAATATTAAACCTACTTAATCTAATATGCATTCGTTTTCTATTAAAGTCTTGTATATATTCATAAGCAAAATTAACAATAGCGATAATATTCATTAACTAGTTTCAATCTATTGTAAGTGGAAGTATCTTGCACAGATTATGTTATTGAAGGGCGGAACTTCACGTTACGAGCATTATTTATACTTAATATGAGGTTCTAATCTCGTGTAATTGTTCTTATCTTATGTAATTTAAGATTAAATAAGAAACACTTTCTATTCTAATTATAAAAAAAAATATTCTGAATATCGATTTGTGACTTCAATTTTATATAAATTCGGAAATATTATACGCACACATTTACAAAACATGCACACTTCTTGTCGTATAATATTTTATTCATATTGCATAAGGTTTTGGCTTTTGATTCTACGACCGGCCGTCTGTTTGACGTCAACCTTCTTTGGTAGTGCATTTCTTGGTGGTATCCGCCACTTACAATATGAAGGAAAGGATTGAGGTAAAAAGTGGAGGACAACGTGAACGAGTAAAGGAAGTTGGTAAAAAAGGAATGAAGGATTTGTAGGGAAAAGAGAAATAACGAATATTGTACCTAGTTACTGAATATATATTGGTCAGAAATTACAATAGCCAGGACAGGAGAAAACCCTTAACATAAACTGCAGACAAAAGATATGAAGGGATTGTTAGTAAGGGGGTCTAATTACCCGATTGATAGCAATATAACATATATTAAATCGGCCTCCACGCGATTCCTCTTAGAAGGCATCGTATTAAATTCTTGAAGAATTCGTCACAATAATCTAAATGACCTGATTTTACACTCACTTATCATCTCTATTCGGTGCCCTAACAACGTATACCGATAGCGTAAGGGGGTTACAATTTCCATCCTCACACATTAAAAAAAGACTATAGATACATAAATATTACAATTGTAATAAATAAATATATATTAAAAAATGACATTGAAAGTTTTTATCGACATGTTAATGTTTTGTAATTGTTATTACACAAATAAAGTCCTTTAAATATAGTCCTTCTGGTGAATGGGATAAAGAAAGTTTTTTTTATTTACGTCCCTACCGTTCATATTAATGTAAATCGCTATTAAATGCAGACATTCAAATTCAGACCTCTATGGACAATCGATAACGTATTAATAATTAAAGATTGTTTACACGAGAGACCTTTTCAATGCGAATATTATGATTTGTACTTCCATTGTTGTGTAGCGGTTAAATATACTACACCTTTTGATAGTTGGATTATCGCAAAGTATAAGCATCTATTTATAATAGTATTTCTATTCCAAACTAAACTGTCAAAAAGTGTAAAAAATCTGTCAACCCATAGTCATCAAATTTAATTTTTAATGAGATTTAAGTTGAGAAGTATTAGCTATTTTGTTACATATTTCAACCATTAATTACTAGATTAACTAGCCAGGGACTAATTACTATATCTCGATTTAAATTAGATTATTTAATATTCAGTATGGGGGTTTTTCAACAAAACTACTAAGGATTTTCAAACTTTAACACTTTATTTGTGTCGGCAAAGCACACTTGACACCCTTAGTATTTCAGATGTCCATAGGCTACAGTGACGGTTTAACATCAGATGAGCTATATGTTAGTTTGGATTATAAAAAAAATTGTGTTAAATATCCTTACTAATATTATAAAAGTGATACTGAATTTTGTATGTTACATTACAGCACTTTAACGAGTTAACCAATCACTATGAAATTTGATATACACGTACTACATGAAACAGATTATAGGTCACTTTTTATTTCGGTCAGCATACATGGCACAAGGACGAAGTCGCGGGTAATAGTTAGTAACTAAATAAAATTATGAAATACATATACATATAAATGACGAAATATTCTGTAAATTTTTTTTTTTGTACAACTTAGAATGGCAAACAAGCTGTAGGCCCACCTGATGGAAAGTGGTAACCGTCGCCTATAGACATGAGCAGTAGCATGGACATAACAGAGCATACTGTTTCGCCTATGATACCCCCCATGCGTTGCCATTCCTGAGGACTCGGGTGTTACTCCTCTGTACCCAGTAAATTCACGCTATATCCCACCCTTCAAATCGAAACACAGCCGTGCGAACACAACTGCTTCACGGTTGAAACACAAATGGGTTTTATTAAAAATATTTTAATGTAGAACACGAGCAAATTGTACCACGAGCGTTGCCAGATTGGGTGCTTTTTCGCAAATTTGTGTAAAAATTTGTTTTGTTGCTAAATTTCGAAAAATGAGATTCTTAGAAAAGTATTGAGAGAAATGGGCTTAAAAAAATTTGATTAATGTTTTTGTCATTTTAGATTGTAGTAAACTATGTAGCGGTATATATAATATATGAATGAAGGTAGCAAAACAGAAAACGAGATAAGACTAGGCTGGTAAAAGGACAAAATATATGCGACTAACAGTACGAATAGTCAGAAAAAAAGCGTGTTTTTTTATTCTTTTCTCGTCGTTTCATAGCAAAACGTAGTGAAAATCAATACAAATTTATAATCAATGTTAAAGTAAATATACGAATACTTTTTCTATGTACCACGATACTGAAACAATAACAGAAAATGGAATTGGTATTATTGTTTTCCATTTCAAATAAACCAAGTTATATGTTCACGTAATAAAACTTTGGTAAACAAATATACAGTAAATTCGTGTGTATCACTAATAAATATTACAAGTGGAATTGTGAGTAGTGAGTAGGTGGGAACGAAAACTTTCTGGTGAATGCTAATATTACACTAACTATTGAAACGAGTAACCAAAATTAACAACAATAACAAGTAACGTACTTTTTTTTGACAACAAAGCGACTTCACCTATGAACACACACAAATCAATGCACGATGAAATGTTGTAAATCTACTACTAATATTATAAACTAGCAATTCGACCCGGTTTCGCACGGGTAGATAGAAGTTTCTCATTTTTTCTCATTTCATAAAAGTTACTCACTGATAATGTAGCTTTCTAAAGGTGAATTAGTTTTTTTAAATTTGTTTTTGATTTTGTCCACTACTAGCGACCCGCCCCGGCTTCGCACGGTTGCAATATTTGTTTATGTAATTTTTAAACTGTACAATACCTTTTAGTTAGGCTGGTATTTTGGCATGTGTGAAAGTATTGCACTTATATTCTCTAAGATTGTAAAATGAATGGCTTGTAAAGTTTATTTTACTTTTACCATAATTTATTGTTTGGCAGTGATAAACGTAGATTATGCTGTCGCAGACTTTTTTGTAAAGCTAAAAGTAATGAACATTTTGCTATAGATTTTATTTCTTTATTTCGACCGTTCAGGCAGTGCACGCTATATTGTAGAATTTTTGCCGACTCCAGTTACATTTATTGTAATTAATTATTGAAAACATAGAAGTCACGAAATAGTATATGTGTATGTATATATAGTCGTTGTATATTTACGATTGACGTTCATTTTTAATTTTTGTTGAATAATTAGTTTTTTTTTTGTACAAAATAATCTGCTGGATATATCGCTACCTAAGCAGCTATATTTTTATTATTGTATTTCAGTATAAAGTGTCAGATATGGTTACAAAAGTAATGGATATAATATAACGCATTATTTTTCAAGAAATATTACGTATAAGGATATTATATATATATATTAATGTAAATATATATAAGGCAAATGTTATATATCAGATATTACAATAACATGGAAAATTCAGGGATTTTATACACAAATGGATACCATGAAAAGTTTCCATGAAATCCAGTAATTACAATTATCATGAAACGGAATTATGTTAGCCGAGGTTTTTCAAACTTAGCGACTCATCTACGTAAAAGCTATGCCTATTTATTTATCACATGATTGAGAACTCCTTTTAACAAATTTATAAAAAAGCCTAAGAACAAAGTAGCAACGGCTGACAGATGTCATATTTCAAACATCAAACAAAAATATACCGTATTTAGACAATTTCAATACAATGTTTTTATTTATTGTTCCATTTATTTGGAAGTTACAATTTTACTGAAAAAACACACAGAATAGTTAGAAATGCGTCCGTAAAATAAACATATTTGTAATATTGCACGTATTATAAATATATTACAGTATAAAATAACGAGTTGGCTTGATTTTTATGACAAACTGAGTTGATTCATTGTGTTACTACATCGCACTTGCGTGACAGATAACCATTTCGTAAATCTTATCGCAAACCTACGATTAAATGGAGCCGCTGATGGTTTGCGATTCCCACTTTGAGAATCTTTGGTATAAGGGGATTCACGCAAGCGTAAACTGTAGACGTTTGCTAATTAGAAAATACAACATTGTTTGTATCAGCTATGTTTGTTCAGCCATGATATTTTCTTAGAAAAATGTTTCTTACAATAAATCTTAGTGTAAGAAACACAATTGCATTATCCTTATTATTTCAGCCATTAACTGTGCACTGCTGGACATAAGCCTTTCTCATAAGGGGAGTTTTGCCAGTAGTTGTCATGGTAGGCAGGCAGGTCGGTAACCGCAGTTAGGCTTTTAGAGATGTTTTAGGAGGGACGCTGCTGCCGATCCCTCGCCCTCCCTTAGTCGCCTCTTACGGTATACACGTGAAAGGAGGGAGTGGCCCATTCTATGCCGGAGCACACACGGCGAATGGCTATTGTGTTACGGGGTAACTTTCGAATTAATGGAATTAGTGTTAAATTATGGATAAACGTTATATGGAATAAACGTTACCTTATTTTGTTACCCATTTATATATAGATAGATACACTTTAAAAGTCTGGTCTCTCTAAAAGGTTACAGCAGTAAACTAAGCTAAAACAAAACAAAAAGATTGATTAATAGGTGGTCTTATCGTTAAAAGTGATCTCTTCCAGACAATCTTTGTATTGTGAGAAATAATAATAAAATAATAAATATAATGATAGTTCCAGGGAGCGCCGCGTGGAGGTCGAACTGATAGAGAGTATTATTAGTAACGAAAGTATTAGACACTATTACTAACAATCATTTTCTCCTTCGGTGTAATTTCGATTTGATATCAATTTCATTGCGTCTAAAAGTAAGGACCAAAAGTAATATATCTATTTGTACGTAATTCGAAACACGTACAAACTAAGGAAAAATAATGTATCTTCCTAGGTATGTACATATTATAGCAACACTTGCTAACTATGAACAAGATTTAACACAAGAGGTATCATAATCAAGTTAATTATGTGTTTTTTGTAATACCTATAACTTTACTTCAGATTGACCGATTTTATAATGTTTTAAGCAAGAAGAAACAATAATAATTTATCTTTGGAATAAACTGTATCCACCTAAAAATATTTTGACGTTGACTGACAGCTCAATCGCCGCATAGCGTTCCGTGAATTAAATTATAAAAGTAGATAGGCGGTAATCGTTATGTACTCTTTTAGTGAAAGATATACTACAATTTATCCAAAAAAAAACCTCAATGTTTAAGGTTAATTCCACAACTATAACATCAGTTATACAAATTAGTACGAAACCAAACTCTTTGATAAGAAAAAAAAAATATCAAAATGTTATAAGAAAATGCAGACAAATATATAGTTGAATTCAGAACCTCTTTCCTTTTGAAGTCGGCTACAACCCCTGATTTATCACCATTTAGTTAATTAACGCTTACTCCTGCACCGAAATTCTATGCTTTCTCCCAAATTATGGCGTAGCGAAGAAATTCACATTGGCCTGTCTAAATTTAACAGAAGAGCTCTTTGTTTATTTTTAATTTATTTCTATTTGCCGTCGCACAAGGGACCTCGTGTTGTGTTTATTCTATACGCAAACCGGACTTTTTGGGATCACACCTGTATAAAATGTATTCGAGGAATTCTTTATTGTTTTAAATATAAATGGGGGCTTAAGTGCGGACAGGTTGGTTTAAATGTTGTAACTGGGAAAAATACTAAACACTTAATGACATCAGAAAAAGCTAAAAGTTAATTGAGACAGATACAATAACTAAGATATTTTATTTTTTATTTTTGAAAATTCTGTAGATTATAAAAATTACTTACATTAAGTACAATTATGAAGAAGTCCAATGTGAACAGGAATGATGTTATTGGATTAAAGTTGAGCTGAAACAAAAAATATGTAATTAGAATGGCATATACAAAATATGCCGTGTGGTCCCGGCATAGAACGGGCCACTTACTTTCTCGTTGGTGTCGTAATAAATGACTACGGGATCTTAATAGTTAAGATATGGACAGTATGTTCCTCTTAAAACATCAAAAGCCTTACTGCGGTTGCCAACTCGCTCACCAGGCGTGGTAACTACTGACAAAGCTGCTCTTATGGGGAAGGCCTATATTCAGTAGTGGACAGTTAATGGCAGATGTGATGATAATGAAGCACGTCTTAATCTAAATTCATCTTAATGTGAAAGTGTTATAGGTGATATGGTACCTATATCCATATAAACTGCAAATATTTTATTCTTGTAACTTTATTACCTTTATTTATTTAAATAATTGTAGCACAATTATTCTATTTTAAGCCTATTTCCTTAGATTATATAGATAGACCATCGAGTCTCAAAAAAGGGTCAACTTTTTGTCAACTACTTGTCAAAGCAGCTGATTCGTTTTTTTTTTATCAGTGTTCTATAACATATAAGTAACACACATAACGTATCTATATTTAATTATTTTACAAATAAAATGTTTTTTTACGCATTAAAAAGATGCAAAAATTGTAAGATAAAATAAATATAGAAATTATAAAGGAGTCACTCATAACTATTTATCACGTAAAATTGTATTAAAAAGTTGTCTCTCTTTTCTCGAAACATTTGTATGGAGACACTCTATCTATATAAGTCTATTTCATAGCTATGAGTAGAAATTGAGTATTTCTATTTGTAAGAACTGTAGTGACATCTATTTAAATTTATATCTGCGGCCACAACTTTCTATTGTTTATCAATCAGTTCACCCTCCCCCACTGAATCCGGTTCATATTATTATTATGCTTCAGTGGAAATATAATTTCTATTTGACCCCCAAGATCTGTCCTTACATTTTATATATTTCACTTTATATCATTATTGTATTCCTTCCAGTTCATTGAGTGGACGAGAGTTGACAATTTGCCACAAAAATTGTCAATCAGATATTTAAGGTTATTTCCGATGGCGATAACATTTTTCTATTCTATAAATTTATAGCGATAGGAGAGTAGATTGCTCATAAGGATGAAACATATTTTTCATCAATTTATGAATTATAAACATTGTTTACATATATTTCAGTACTTATTCGATTACTTTGTTACATTCCGGCTATATATTTTTTTATTATATAAACACACGGTCATTGTTTTTATTTTAAATTTTTATTTGTAATAGTCTTACCCACTTGTCACTACGTTCTGGTATATTCAAGATTTATAAATCTTTCCATATCCTAAATTACTATTAATGATCTTCCTCCAAACGTTATTTCAGATTTTATCTTAATATTTAGGAAATACGAAAGACCAGCTGTAATCTACGATTTAACGCGTGATTCAATAAATAAAGTATTACCGTATACTTTATTACATTGGAATACATTTAGTAGTTTTTGCGTGAAAGAGTAGTATAATTTTTGAAAAATATTACAGAACAGTCAAGTATATTGTAGCTCCTCACGCAGCGAATTTACGGTTTATTTATCATACACATTAAAACGTAAATGTGAATTACGTGTATGTCAGTTACCAACACTTGGGCGCTTTACTTAAGAATTACACGGTGTTGCTTTGAATGCTTTTGAATAGCTTCATATTAGAAATATTATCAAAAACAATAAAAACAATGTCTACATTTATCTACACTAATATTATAAAGAGGAAAGATTCGTATTTTTGTGTGTATGTTTGTAATGAATAAACTCAAAAAATACTTTGCCGATTTCAAAAGTTCTTTCACCATTAGAAAGCTACATTCATCCTGAATAACATAGGCTATTATAGATATTATAGATATAATAGATATTTATTGCTAAAAAAGGTTAGGAATCATTACTTAAACTTTAGTAACCTAACTCAAGGTGTAAAAAAATGCTATAAAATATCTTTCTTCGCGTGCGTTGCGGAAACTATTGGTGATAGAACAAAAGTATGTTCTACAATATTGAAGAAAATATCAATAACTATAAAAAATTTCACGATACTCTATGTCCAACTATTATCGTTATGTCACAATAACCACTTTTTAAAATGTTGTAAAAATGTATACCCGCGCGAAGCCGGGACGGGCCGCTAGTCCATAATAAAAAAAAACTGATTTTAATTTAATTATTTTAAATCTTTAAGAAATATTATAAATGTGAAAGTGAATTTGTTTATTACTTCTTGACGTATTAACGGCTCAGCCAATTGAGAAGAACATAGACATTTTAGAAGAACAAGGTCGCGAGTTAAAACTAGTATTTTTATAAATAAAAACTTAACTAGCCAATGCTCATAAAACATTTTCTTCCTCAGTGAAAATAAAGGATGTTTTTTTTCTCATTTATCAAAAGTTTCTACAAAAATAACAATCAGCCAATCGGCATGACAAACCACGCGTTTTGGGTCGCCCTTGCGGGGAGTAAATGAAACGCAAAGTTGTTGTTAGTCCGGCCTCGTTGCCCACGAGTTAAATTTTTTGGATAAAGTCGAAAAAAAATTATATAAAACAAAAAATGTGAATTATTTTTCATGTACTTATATTCTGTCAAGAGCATTAATATAGAAGCTGACCAAAGTGATGTAAGTTTTCGAGAATATTGAAAATTATTTTCAATATTTTTTATTGATTATTCAAAAAATATCCCATTTAGTTTACTAACTAGAATGTTAATTATGCGTAAAGCTGGTTAGTCGATTAAAACTACCTTAATTACCTACATTTAAGGTTACGTGGTAACTATTGTTCTTATTAGTAGAAATAATACGACCTTCCATAATGAGTCATTAATCTTCGATCGCTATTGTCTACGCACATGTTTTTTTTATACCACTGAGGTGGCAAACAAGCATACGGCCTACCTGATGGTAAGTGGTTACCGTAGCCTATGAACACCTGCAATACCAAAGGTATTATGCGCGCGTTGACGACCCTGAAGAAACCTCTTTACCCCCCTTTTGAATAACCCCATGCTGCGACAAGTGTTTCACCTCTAAATAAGGTATCTTCAGGAAAATTAATCGATTTCTGCTCGGAGCCAAGTGTTGACCGTTTGGCGCTCAGACTACTATTCGTAGTCAGCAGTCGACTTCTACTAATAATAATTGTAGTCAATCGTCAAATGTTCGCAATCGCATGTATATTAAAAATAACGGAACTAAACACAACAGCTCTAATCAAACTAACCTAGTGATATGGACTTCCGAAAAATGACTTCTAGTTCAGTAAAAAAAAATTGTAAAGCTGTTATTAAAAATTTGGATTTTGATAGTAAAAAATATTTGTAAACTTTCTAAGCAAAATGCGAAGTAAGTGCCAAACTTTTAGTGGTAGATTTATATACTATTTATGTTATGTTATTTAGTTCATTATCAGAGCACTTTTTAAATAATGAATCAGAATTTTTGAAAATCATTATTAAAAGGTGATATTTAACTCGGACGTTGCCATACTTCGATAAGTTTCAATATGAACACTCTTAATATTATTGTATTATAGAAATCATGCTTGATATTATAAAAATCATACCGTATTTTCAATCCAGTACCGGCATTGTAGGGTGAAGGATTGGACGGCGCCCAGAGGCGCTGAGGTCTAACAGGCGCCAGAAGCAAGGCATCAATAAAGGATCGCATTAACGTCGAATGCCAGTAGACAGGAATTCAATTTCTTCAATCTAGCGGATATATTATTTTTTAAAAAAATTTGTTAACCCAATTAAAATCCCAATGTTTTTAAGCCGGTCCTGCTCTTTAGGATAATATTACAAAATGTTAATTAATGTATTGGTATTGTTCACCTGCGATTTTACATTATCCGTATTTTAGAACGAGAGAATCCAATGACATTGACTACTTCTAGAAGGCGTATATGCTCGAGATTTTAAATGTGATCTTCAGAATTATAATTACTGAAACCTCGTCCTATTTGGTGCAATAGTTTTTGCGTGCTGCAAAAAAAAGAAAAAGAAATCTAAAAATATTGTTTTGGCTTTTAGTGCTTTTATTAAGACCACTTATACATTTTTTTCTTAAATATCTCCTATGTATAAGTACAGATATCGTCTAGTTACATTTTTTATATGTGTACAGAATTCATTATCACTGTTTTAACTTCTTAAGTAATAACATAAAACCTAAGATACTCGAGATAAAATGAAAAAATATGAGCCCTCGTTAAACATTATTATAGAGAGCGAAATAGAAGTAAGAAGGGGAGAAAAAGCTCAAGCTATAGTTACATTAGGCAGATTAAGGAAAAAAATATAGTCATATCGTATTAAAACATGAAGAAACTCGCTAAAAAGAATAATAAAAAAAAAATAGGTTATATACGTATTTGTACATTGTGTATGAGAAACGTCTAAAGAAAAAAATCACTATGCAAATGCGACAAAAACAATTATTGTCCGTTTTACCGTCGTTATACGAGAGTAATTAATTATAATAATAATAATAATAATAATGGGCGCGCACACACACACACACAAAAACTCACACACTGCACTTACTTGGTCTCGGCCCGTAAGTGCAGTATACGCAAAGTAGCGTATATACCAGCTATAGCTGAGTAATAAAGTTTGCATAAAATAATAATTTTATAATAATAATTTATTATATAGTTACCACTCGATATTCTGCTAATTCTGGAGACATTCCGATTATTAATAATCGACTCCCTCCTTCGAGGGTCAACTTCTATTACTATATTATTATTCTTAAACTGAGTCATACTCGTAATTGAGGTTGTTATTATTTTGTGGATTTTTTTATCATTGCCGATATACGTATAATAAATGATTGATTAAGTGATTGTGAGTTTGTTTGTTCCTTACCTCTTGGAGTCTTGACCGTTCAATCAATCGTCATGAAATTTATTATATACATAGTATTTAGAATGGAGAAGGGTACAAGAATTATTTCG